CCAACTTCTCCGCTGTGAGCTAGGTACCAATACTTTCCCGACGCTCTAAGAGATTCTCCTGACCTTCGACTCAGCTCTCCGGATGATCATTGTGCTCAGTTTTTTCCCATAAAATAATCAATTTTTACTTTATTGACCGCAGCAAGTAGGCGCATATAGTACTACTACTCATGGCTTTAAACAGTTCTAATTCTTTGCGCCTACGAATGCGAATATTATGGCTGTCTTTATATCAATCTAGCCTCAATGTTGACAGGAACTGCGGCCGTTTCCTTAATCTTTGGTTTCCCACGTACTCAAGGACGACATCATGGAAGGCCTCCAAGAAGCGAGATGAGCACGCCCTGCACATAAATAATCGCCTTGTCCCGTATAAATTCGTCTGTTCAGGCGGCTGGTGGTGTTATGGGGAATGGTGCTAGCTTGCCAAGTTGCTCCGTTGTCCTCTCCTGCGGCTACCTAGCGAAAGTAATTTTTCCGTGTCGTTGGAATTTGGTAATATGCGTGGAATATGCTGGGGATGAGTGGACCCATATCAGACACAATTTTAAACGGACTGGGGACTATGAGTCTATGATCAGCCAGGCACCTTATTTCTTGACTGGCGAGAGTAGGAGGTAGTTGTTGCTCTGAGGGACTGTCCATGTACCATACTCCATGAACTGCCCTTCTAGACCTGCGTTGCAACCCGTGCAGGGATCGTCTTTACTTTGAGAAGCAGAAGGAGAAGGGCATTCGAAGAAGAGACTTTTTGTGGGATTTTTGCTGTAAGCAGTGCGTAGGGCAGGGGGGAAATATTATTTATCAAAAAGGAGGTGATTGGCGCACTAAAACGCATTTGTTGGCGATAAGTTTTCTTCCCCTGCTGGTAGCAGGGCGCGCCCCAGGAGCTCTTCTCAGGCGGGCCATGGATGTCATTGGACATCGGGATGGGCGTTAGTTAGCAAGGAACAACTGATAGGCACTTTTCTGAAGCGCCAGTAAAGAAAGATGGGCCTGTGAAGCATCTGTGGTATAAAAACGAGAGAGAGATATGAAGTTTGGGGGGGGGGTTGTGCATCCTACATGTTGCCAACATGACATGAATCAGTCAACAGCCATTGTGCTACGGAGAAATGTCCTTTGTTACCCAGATTTTCCATATATTCTCCGTCAACCAACATTACGCCGTACAAGACGAAAGCTAGTGGGAACATTTCCTCAGAGACAAGATCCATAGGCAATGATGGAGGACACAACAGCAGGTTACAAGATCTTGTAGTGTTCTATGTAGGTATAATAAATGGACAGATATCCAGGAATTTTTGAACTACGCCGTACTTTCTCCAAAAGCATAACATGGCACAGAAAAATGGAATATTCTATGACCTTTATTGAGTGAGTTGACTATTCCAAGCGTGTTTCATAATATGCCCGACTAAACCACTTTCAAAGCTGAAAACGCCAACTTAGCGCCCCTGAATGCTAAGTTACTGGGAAAGTCACACTGAATGTTGTGCAACCAACTTGTTTTGCAAGATACTACAGTACGAAGAAAGTCAACTGGCCGGAGGAAAAGGAAAGACAATTGGCAGGAAAACAAGGATATGTATAGAATACGATAGAGAAATACGGTCTAACTATCGCAGACAAAACGAAGGCTTAGTGATGTTCGACTTTATACATACTTCACGCCGAAACTTCTGAAATTTCTCCGCTGCCTATTAATCCAGTGTGCCAGTGTTTGTATAGCCTTGATCCGTATAGGATTTTCTATACAGGTTGCGTGATTACCCAGCGCCGGATTTGGAACTAAGCCTGGGACATCAGGGGGTTAATTATATACCGAAGTGCATAGTTGTGTGCTAGAAAGTTATACGGGAAGCATATCATACAGTTTACTACCAGTTGACAAGCCCCCGAACAGTCGGGGGAGGAGGGGTGGGAAGAGTTTAGGGGCTTGGTGCCTAAAGCTTGGCTGTCGAGTTAGGCATCAAGGCCTCATAACCTACGTATCCTGTGAGGACCTGATTCATTGAGCTCCAGTATTGATATTTCCGTTTAAATTTCTAGGTGTGCAAGGTAAATTATCTCTCAGGCTGGACGTCACGCTATTATTGTGATGAGCAGATATTGCAGTAAAGCCATAGTTAGAAATGGGAACGACTGGTCCGAGAAACAGCTTTAAGCGAGCTTCGCCATGGACATATATGAAGATCAAAAACAAGGCTAAGTCACTCACTGTCGCTGAGCTTATCTCACTAGTTTTCCTTCAGCTGCGGAAGGAACTGATCTTTAGAAAAATCCACAAACCATTCCCATGGAAGCTTGTTTTCCACAGAAGCCTGTTTGTCCCCGTAGGGACGTTTCCATGTGACCCATGGATGTACACTGAAGGGCTCTGCTCTTTGAGATATAGTGTAAAATGGTTACCGGTTTGTAAAGGCTAATTAATGCGGCCAAACTTGACAATTAAGGAATACTTGGAGTAAAGGTATTCGTCCGTATTAAGCGTATACTCGTTGTTGAGGTACCACGCACGAATGGTCGTCCACTGTGCTCGATATCTGTATCAATTGTAGTTCTGCGCCAAGCGTATAGAGACGAAAAGAATAGTAGAGGTATAGGGATGATAGGAAGGAAAGACAATGTCAACATGGAGATATTATAGATCGCCAACAACTGGTTTAACCAGGTCAACAAACAAACCAATGAGTTGGTATGAGCAGCACGCAGGTTTGGCATCCTTAGGTATGTATATAGTGGAAAATCATGTTAAAACGAGTCTGGTGTAATGTCTGCCGTTGATGTCCAAGTTGACAACTGTTTTCATCCTGGTTGTTAGGCGCCTTGGCTTTGTGGTGCTTAATGGACAGCCTAGGAGAAAGGAAATAGGGAATGGAAGTGCCGCCCACGTTATCCAACATCCAAAGGGATGCCGCGACCATCCTGAATAATCTGCGAACGGATATATTGAGCTGGTAACGTACTCATCAAACAAGAGTAACGAGGTCACCGCAAGGCCACGGCATGATCTAGTTAGCAGCAGGACGTCGTATATTTTGTCGGAACTACCTCACGGGTATGGACTTTGCACTAGGTTAACTATCCATGGGGTTGACGACAAGCTATGCAAGGCCACAAATTGTTCTTCTTGCCTATTTGCTCCTATCTTTACAGGAAATCATCGGGAGCCAGCTTGTTGTGCGGCTAATCATGTCGTGGTAGGCACTGGATTATTGTTAATCCGTCGCCAAGCCGAGCTCGAATTC